GTAAATGTAGTATATAGTGAAAAAACGAGTGATTGAAGTTTCAACGATATGGTTGATGTTATTGTCACATTTAATACGGATGTATCAATTTCTCCAGCACCCACATTAGTACCACAAGATTCTCGTGTTTATTTAGCTGTTAGTTTTATTAGTATTTTAATATTGCATGCGACAATCTGATAGAGTAACTTACTCTGCCTCCATGTAAACAACCAAACGCCAAATATAGTGAACATCATGGTACCGACACATGCATCACCCCAAATTCAAAATGAAGGAATGTTCACATTAGTAGAAATAAATTAACGATAGCAGATCCAAACACAATACTTATATTTGCTCATTGACATTAAGGCTACAGCACAGATGACTGGGCGCCGCGATGCTGCTGTCGAAATGTGTTCGCGCGAATCACCACCCACCCTATATTTAAGCTTTTAGAATATATATTACGTATTGTCACCATAGCATGTACATCTACTGAAAGAAGGTAACACGAGAGAAGACTGAAAAAAGAATCTGGAACGAGGCCATGTTTACCCTAATCTTCACGTTGCCCTATTTTATTACGATCTCGCATGTTAAAACCTTAGGGTCTTTGTTCATGCACGGACAAGCGAACTCTTAATAATAAAGCGTGAAGTCATGTATAACATGGAATATGTAAACTACGCTTCCATGCCATCTGTACACATAATAAACCAAAATGCCCCGAGAAAGAAACGATGCATATCCGTACGTATTCGTTGTATGTACTTGGAGACAGAGTACTCATCAGAAGCCAAATATATAGTGCGCCACCATACCTTTTCTTTTTGGTTTCTTTCGTGATTTACGCTTTACGCGTTGTACTACAATTTCAGAGGGGCAGGGTATTTCAGGCGCTAGGTGGAAAATTATTGAAAATAAAACAAAATAGAAGTGTTAGTGTACACAGCAACATGTAGTAATATTAAAACTTAAAGATTGAAGGCAAAGAGAAATGAAAACTCTATCTTCGTCGACACCATACTCACCGTTGTCCGACGTGTCCCTGACGTCACGATCATTTTCGACGTTTTCAGTCAGCTTGCTCTGAGCGGAAATACATTAAATAATACAGCATTTATAATAGGTAATAGGTCGTCTGTGGTCAATTACTTCGTGAATTCGCACCTGTTACTAATAGGCAGGGATATGTAAATACTGAGTTTATGCGCGCGTATTTGGAAAAAATATTGGAATGGCTTACGTAACTATAGGAAGATAATACGTCTATGTGGGGAAGGGATACGAAAATACGAGGGCGTATATAACGTAGATATGTATTGCATACATAATAAGGACTGCATAATTAAATATTAGAGAATACGTACATATGGGGAGGATACGTAAATATGGGGTGAATACGTAAAACTGGGCGTCAATATTGGCAGGAGATATTAGTATTTTAAATCTTTAATATCAATCAGAAAACAGGAAATGTTGAATATTCCGCATTGGTTGTCATCGCGACCGAATGTCGTTTCGACTTCGCATTTTATTGTTTGTTTGAATTTCATTTTGATCTATTCGCGTTGATTCTAGGCAAATGCTCAAACAATTCGGCAATTCGCACATTTTACACAATACATGTATTTCCAAACCATAAAGTTTGTCCGAATGATCTCAGACACGTATTATAACAGTGGCGGTGGCACGGGGGGGGGTGGCAATCAAGCTGAAACCCTTTGTGTCAGTAAAATTTGCCCCTCAAAATGCAGGAAATAGCGTTTCAGAGGATCTGGATTTCAGATCTCGCCCCTCATGCAAAAGTTGTTCCGCCGCCTCTGTATAATCGATCAATTTAACTGACAACAATTGCTAAAGAGATATACCTGGCTTAATTTGCTTAACATTTTCATCGATTTTTCCAAAGAATTTGCTTTACCAAATTACCGAACAGCCCGTTTCATAATTCTAATACAGACGTAAAACACCACATTGGATTATAAATTCACTGTTCCGATGTTATTAATTTGAATACAATTAAACATTAATAATCACATCCAGGCTGATGCTAATGTTTTCGCCATTCAGACCAATTAAGTACGTGAATTACTAGTACCTACGCTGACACTGTATGTGTGTCTACCGTGAGTTATATAGGACGAAGTACAATGAATTTGACTGCGATCTAGAGCACTTGTAACCACACATAGACGCTACACCCCCCGACATGTACATAACGTAAATCACCCCCAAGTTACAGCTCCACGCCCAGGGGCATATAGTTGGGAAGGGGGTTCTGGCATTCGATTCTTCCCCTGTTTGTTTACCATATAATCCTGCATAAATTATGTTTTACGGTGTACCTTGTTTAGGATGTTCACTTACCTCGTCACCGTACTCTTGACTGAATCTACGTTGCAAATCGTCTAGCCCCTCCATGGCAAGCACCTCGCTTGTTATATCATACAGAGCTTGGAACCTCCTCTCGTTCGCGTGTTGTTTACTTATCAACGCTATGTTACTGGCATACAGCGCACAAGACACGCTGCCGAGGGCTGTCACGGCGACCAAGAGCAAGGCAACCAGAATAGACATACACAGCACAAATGTATTGTTGAGACTCCAACCTGCATGTGGACTTCTCGAACTCAATTCGTTATCGGACACTTCGTCAATAACTCCGATAACCAGCGTGGGCGGTTGCTGCCTTGTTTTGGAGCTAGCCATGCTCTTTGTGACGTTAATGCTTTCAAAGTGGACTATGAGCGCCCCCGGGTGAGGACCGAGGTCGGCTGGGTTCCTGGCCTATTCTTCGGGTATCAGGGTGTTTAAACCTAATTTGAACATGACTCCGGCGATGAAGTTGTGTTCCCGCATATTGATAACGATAGCTTAGAGACGTTTACCTTATTTTAGTGTGTTTATAGGAATTATATCTCCAGGGGTATAACGAGAAATTCACTCGATTTCCAAGAATAATACAAATGTGTACTTTGAAATGCAAAGTACAAATTACAACTCAACGAACCAATCACTCGCAGAGAAACTGACCTCTGACCTTAAATTTATCTTAACAATTATACAACTTACTTACACCACTGCGTAAAAATAAAGATTCACAGTTGATTTGTTTGACAGTGACTATAAATTTTTTCTTCCATTCAAATGAAATACAGGTAATATTTCACAAAGATTTCAAATATTATATATAATATTTGTTGGAGAGATGATAAATAAATAAATAACACAAATATTGATAATATCGCGGTTTTATATATTCATTTAGTTTGTTTAAAAAGGGAAAATGTTATTATGTTTTAAGTAAGCACTTGGTCATACATTACAGTGACTTGGTGATTTATGCTCATAGATTGACTAATGAGAAATTGAGTTGACTTGTTGAACTTATTTTGTTGCATTTCCTTATGTTAAAAAGTCGCTTTGACGTAGTTCACTATCTCTGAAACAAATGATCGTTTTTTCACGTTTAAACTATAATTGATGGTGCTGTTCACAAAAAAGCCTTATAACAATATATAATCACCAAATTACTTTACGCATAAAACATGACTTTGTGATGTATTTGGTTCCTATGATGAAAAATTGACATCATATCTCAAAATGTTCTTGGTTACATTTAATTAATAAATGAATTCTTAGTCGTCAGGAGATATTAGGACACTCTGCTTATTGTTTATAAAATAATGCTTTAACTTTAAATTGTTACAACTATGTTGTTTTTTTTTTGCATTTTTTAGGCAGATTTTTTTCTAAACAAATATTATCCGAAACGTTGCTATGAAAATCACTAAGTGTGTAACCCGTTTGAAACAAAAAATCGCGATCAATTTGCGTCCCATTTGTTACGTCGAGGACGAAGATCTCTCTCAACATCTGAAAAAACGTGACATTGCACAAATAAATGCGCAGCAGTTCGTTTATTTATTAATTAGCAATGGACACAAAACACATTCACAGGATCCAACAAAACAAACAATACAACAAATACCGTAATAGAATTAAACACATCAGATTTAAAAACAACTCTTTATTGACTGAATTATAAAATGTAAAACATCTATTAAAATAACAACATTTCTACTTGGTATGTTAAACCCACGTTAAAAGTAAAATTGAACAATTCTAAAATCAAATTTCAATTTTCTAGATATTAATATATTTTATAAATATGACGCATATCTAAAAATAACAAACTTTTGTCAGAAACACAAACAGGTTAGTCGCATGTGAGACGTTCCAAAATACAATGTGCCGGGTGGACAAAGCATATATAATTCGCGTTAGAGTTATATATTAATAGTTTTCAATAAATGAAATTAATATAAAAACATATAAGATATACATAAAAGTGGAAACATGTTTTTCTTTTTTTATTTTTCAACAAAAATGAAAATACTATGAGTTACAAAATTATAGTTGTAATTAACTTAACAAAATGAAAGAAATTGATACGAATATAATAAAGCGTGTAACACACAGTGTAATAAACACAAAGTAGAGTCGAGATCGGACACATTGAAGTTATAGTCCCACTACTTATTAATCAGACTATAACGTATGACATAAACTTAAGTGTGTAAATTAACTAATCAAAATGTAGAAATATCGTTTTAAAAATAAGCATGTCGTCTTTACATATATGACGAAATCCACTTTATTAACTGGCATGTAGTGAACATACGAGTACTGGGAGAAAAGCAGCCACTGTCAGCGGAACACTGCTTGTACACAAATAGACACTGGTTATAGGTGTACTTCTGTGCAAAGTATACTTATGCCGTTTATACTTCTGGAGAAACATTCATAGACATACATTTAACGATATAATGGGAGCTGATATGACAATATTTTATATTTTTATTATTAATATAGGACATTGATCACCAAGACTCACAAACATACAATTACTTATGGCTGTGTTGTCTATTTACGAAATGTGTTGATACTGTAATGACGTAATGTAGTTTTATCAGCCATGTAGTAGTAGTTGTAAAACAAAATAGCAATAATTATATTGGTTGGCAACTATCATGAATGTCTACACTTGCAGACTTATCAGACCTCATTGTCGCCAGCTTATCATCAAATGCTTGTTTCGAGGTAACCATTTGCCACAATAAGGGAAACGATTTGTTTGATTTAACGCAATGAAAATCAAGTTTCTTATTTCTGAACAATTCTTTTCTGCATCTTACTGGACACTGCGGTACTTTGTCAATAGAAATGCAAATTTTATTTCGGCCATAATTCACTATATGAATCGCTTCCGGTTTGCATATCTCTTGTGGTACATCGACAGCGCTATCACCCTTAGGTTGGAGATTTGGTATTTCAGAAAAATTGTGCGGTACGTTGTGTCTGTCGAGAAACATGGCACCGATGAATGTGCCTTCTTTCTCCAAGAACAGTGAGATGTTTGCGAACGGTATTTTGATGGAAATGAAGTCGTTTTTTTCAAGGAGGAATATTCCCCCAGCGGATAATGTCCGTTTGTCCGTTCCTATATCTCGAGTAGTAGACGAAAGGCTGCGTATGCGCGCTTGGTTGTTTATGCAAGTAAAATAACCCACAACGGGCAAAGAACTGTCAGAGAAATAAACTTGACTGTACACGTAATACTTTCCAGGAATTAACACTTTCAATTGTCCTGTAGCTTTGTTATAAATCAACGATTCTTCGGTTGTCCATGGCATGACATGCCAGTTACGAAGCGTCGCCATTTTTTCTATAAGAACAAATGATGAATAAATAAATAAATAAATAAATAAATAAATAAATAAATAAATAAATAAATAAATAAATGAATGAATGAATGAATGAATGAATGAATGAATGAATGAATGAATGAATGAATGAAGGAAGGAAGGAAGGAAGGAAGGAAGGAAGGAAGGAAGGAAGGAAGGAAGGAAGAAAGAAAGAAAGAAAGAAAGAAAGAAAGAAAGAAAGAAAGAAAGAAAGAAAGAAAGAAAGAAAGAAAGAAAGAAAGAAAGAAAGAAAGAAAGAAAGAAAGAAAGAAAGAAAGAAAGAAAGAAAGAAACATACCCTTGATAACAAATTGGTCTAATTCACTGGCTTCCAGGTGTGCGATTGGAACAGCAATTCGGTTGTTCTTGAAAGCCGGGATCTGCAAGAAAGGACGACATCTTGTGTAGTGTGCTACAAACCAGCTTTGGGTTCAATGGGAACATCTCATTCAAAATTACGGGCTTCGCGAGAACTTTAGAAAGTCATTTCTCTTGTAGCAGTATGATTGACCTCAATACTTACCAATTCTGGATGCAACTGTCCAGTCTGATAAAGCCAATACAAGTATTCATGAAACGTGTCACGTACAACGGGATTTCCTGGAACTGCAGACACCCCGGGAGGACCTATATACAAATTAGCAACAATTCGTGAGGCTTTTCAACACAACACATGTATTGTATACGAAACCGAAAGTCCAGCGACTTGTCTAGACAACTACAACAATATTTGGTGCAAAGCGTGTGTCAAGGCCTTGGTATACAATTTAACTGCTAATGGACGACAATGTGTAAAGCCGGAAAGTAGGCCGGGGCTATTTTACTAATAGATACAATGTGTCAAATACTCAATTTAAAAAAAAAAGAATAAAACAAGTTTCAAGAAATAACGACCGGTATGCCATTCTTGTAAAAGTTTTTTTTTCAATAAAATAGAATGGATTGCATTCGGTACCACTTTACAACAAAACATGAAACAACTTGTGGTGTGAAACCTATAAGCCTTTGATAAAGAAAACGAACGTTTGATTCTCACCTTGTGCGCCATTATCTCCCTTTCTTCCAGCTTCTCCTCTTGGACCAGGTGGGCCTGTAGAAAAGTGTAACACGTATTACTTATCTTAGTCTACTAATCGGATCGGTATAGGAGGGTGTAAGGTATTTTCCACTGCCACGATGTTATTCAGTAAAACTGTTTTTGTCTTTTTCTAAATTGTTTCCCACATTTGTTTGGAAATTACATGAATATTTTAATTTGTAGAGAAAACTCGTAAACCAAATGACATCGTCTTTAGAAGTTGCTTATCATTTTTTAATAAAGTTACATTTGAACTAACAATATTGCTATTTTGTTTTCCAAATTGTGAGCTATATTGCAATACTGCTGATTGTTTTGTTTTTTTGCATTCATATTAAAACAGTCAGTACACCACAAGACATCAGGGTGTTGTTTCGGGCTATGCCCTCACAACTAACAACCTCTGTTCTGTGGTTTGGTTTTGACTCTTTTGTATCAGTGTATTCAAGTGGGATTACAAAATTCTAACCGGAGGCTAGAGTTTATTCTGATCACTGGAGTTTTGTCTTGAGAGAATGAATCTCGGAGTGTTATAAATACGTTTTTGATTAAATTTTGATAGAATCTCTTTTACATGCCGCTATCTCCGCAAATATCGCCATTTTTGTTAATATGGGTCTCATATCGTGCGCATGCGCGGCGCAATGGCCATCGCCCTTTATTGTTTTGTTTTTTAAATTCAAGTTGATCTAATAAAGCGCACATGCTTAGGGTGCGCTACGTGAAGTGTAACAAAGCAGTGAGAAGGTGGACTAGTTATGTTACGCCTCAAATCCGCTGTCCTTGAGATCAACAAAGTTATACGCGGGATTTCCCCGTTCTCTGAAGGGAAAGCCCCTTATTCAAATGAGGTAGTCACATGACCAAGCGTGTTTGTCAACAATCACACCAAAGAATATAATAAGTCGTTTGAAAAGGGCGCGAACAACGACGACACGATAAGTCAGAAGTGATTTATAGTTCATGTTAGTTTATATCATTATAATTACTAGTATAATCCCACTACCATACATTACCTTGTGGACCTTGACATTGACACTGTGTTTGACCGCTGCTGGCGTCGTCCCTCTGATATCTGTTCAATACACGGACCTGGCGTAAAGCGTGAATGTATGTCAGTAAAATTAAGACTATCAACACGAATTACTCAACAGGTCCCGGCATTAAGGCAAAATACTTTTGAATTTGTATAACTGGGTGTAAACCAACGTCAACTTTGAATTCTATAAACGTGTGTGTTATAGAGTAGTTCAAACTTACTTTTGTATCAGCGATAATATCGTTGCTGGAAGTTGTGTTTTCTTGATCACGGGACGACGACCCATACTCGAGTAGTTCTAATTTTAATGAATTAACACATTGGTTAAAAAACACGAATCCCAAAATAAGAGCGACTGTATTAGTAAGTGACAAGATAAATAAGAAAGCCACTAGACGCCCGCTCAGGCTGTCCCTATGAGATGCTCGCTTCTTGCTAGACATCTTGTGCGCAGCTATGTTGAACACCATTATCAAAGACTATTGACGTTTTAAGTTGAAAAAAAAAACATCAACACGCAACACTGTTTATTCTATTCCCTGGATGGATGTAAGTAGCATGTTTTGATGTTGTGGCATAATTTTCAATTGACCTTTGCTCTAACCAGTGGATCCAACGAAATGACATGTCAACAATTGTAGTTCTAAGAATTGCGGTTTCTTTGCACTGCACACTCTGGTTTCTATTTAAATGCGTGGGTATTTTGGCACACAGTGCAGTCGGTGTCGCCTATGCATCCAACGACACACTATATAATCACATTCAGAATCTTTTTGGCGAAAGAAAATGTCCAAGGATTCTGCAATTTAAGGTGAGTTGAGAATAATGTTACAATTTCTCACCACCCGGCAATCCCGCCCACTTCGAAATGACGGACGGGTACCAGACTAACGAATCAGTGTACACTATGGCGACATCAAAAAAGATTGACAGGACTTGGTCGTCGCACGAACGGGTAAACACATTAAATGGTCGACCAGGTTCTCGTTGTATGTGCCTCACTGGCAAGTCTTAGATCGCCGCCATCTTGATTTGTTAAAAAAATGTGCCCTATCTGCTAGAAATTGTATCATCTCCTTATAATATACATATCATTTTCTACCAATAATAAACCTGGTGAAATATTACAGTTGTATTCACTGGTTTTCCATTAATTCGTACAATTTACCATTTCATAGGATCATTTGTGATATATATTTATACATAACTGTTGATACCCGAAACGAACGATATAGTGTGGTATAAACTCTTACCATATTTCCGATTAACTGCCTAATATGGTGAGAGTGAAAGTTGTTGCGATTTGATAATTGTGTGGCCTTTGCAAAGACGCAAATAAAATTATTTAAAGCGGTTTACGATTAGACATAACTAGCACCAACGTTTGAGAACAGCTTACTCGTATAGCACCGTTCAGGCTTGTCATTTGGGCATCTTAGAAACAAAAAACAATACATTATTTTTGTAAATGTAAGTGAAGGTATGTTTGATACTTTCATTTTGTTTCATTAAACAATTACACTTAGAAGGTCAATTCTTAGAAAGTATGAGTATCATTTCACAGTCAGTGCAAATACGGTAGACCCAGGTCATATAAGGGACACCGAACAGGGTCAAACCTGGTCAGCAGACTGATGCAATTGTAGTGCAATGCCCGGGACGCTCTTCAAATAATACGTCGTCCGATCTAGCACGCACATGACACGATTTTGGGACAAGGTCAATTAAAATTATTATATTCACATTTACCATGAACTGGTTTTACCCCAAATCGCATGTATCTTTACGATGTTGAATTTTCAGAAAGTCGAGAGATTTTAAAAAGGGCAAATAAATGTAATTAAAATATAGCATTCATCACTCAGCAAGCACAGTACTCCATGTCACATCATTATGTATTAAATAATTGCATAATATGGATGAATCTGTGTGTAATGTGTATGTTATATAAATACGTATACCTTGCATGTGCAGTATTTATATTGTGAACTATGTAGCCTCAAGTGTCTTTAAGTGAGTAAGTAACACATTTTTTGATCTCATATGACGACATGAAAAAAAGATAAATATCGTTAACACAGTATTTGTGGTCTCAAGAGCAATTTAATACAACAGTATTTAGTATTTGAATAGATATATAGATACAGCTAAAATTCGTTTTAACAGACGGAATTTTTTTTTATAGCCGATGATTTTTGTCGCCTGTCGTCTAACACCATAATATACAGACATGTTGTTGTGGTTTGTTTGTTTGTTTGTTTGTAGTATTCTTCGTTATTGTTTCATAAATACCACGACACAAACAACGAATATGAAACTACACAATCATATTCAAAACACATAAAAGTATTGTTTACTTTAATCCACTGAGTTAATAGTGACTTCATCATAACGCTTAATATATTCTCGCACATTAATTGTGTTAATTTGTAAAATAAATGAATTGCCGGCAATTGGAAACCAAATAGCACATTTTATGGTGTACAGAATTATATATCACTTATTTAATTCACTCAAGTTTTAAACATACGCAAAGAACATCCAAAGTATAAATGTTGTTAAAATTACACAATTCATATACGAATAATAATCCAGTAGACATACATGTATGTTTGTGATCATAGTAATAATAATCTCACCTTGTAAGGTATGTATCACATTCAAATCCAAATTGTCAAGTTATGTAATATATCTTCCATGACAGTTTTTAACATCCTCCATTTGTTCATTCATTGTAAACAATTTATCAATCAACTTTGAAGTTTGTCTTCGCCATTATATATTTTCTTCTTTTATTAAATAAAAACAACCACTTGTGTTAATTATCTCGTATTTGAAGATTATACCAATTGCCCCAGATACTACAACAGCCAATGTATTCGCATCACATATCAAGTCTGAAAGCAGAAAGAGATTTTATTGATTGAATGATGGTTTAATTGATAGATTGATTTGTTTGTTTGTTTATTGGTTGTAATTTACTAACATCACATTAGACCTGGTAAGTATGCCCGCGCTCTGCTGCTTCAAAACGTACTAATTTTTAGTATCGACAAGTTAAAAAAAATATTACACTAATTAATTAATTAATCATTTCTCTCCTTAGTGATAGTTTACACATGTGTAGGCGCTCTTTATAATCGATTACATAATTGTTACATGTCAACTTATATGCACGTCTTCGTACAGACTCATATAACTCCATATTTTTCCTAGACCCGAAGGACCAAACTAGACTACTGTATTCAAGATTTTATCTTACAACTAATATAAAGACAAATGTATAATAAACTTTGTTGTTGACATATGAATATTGTTCTAAATGTTTTACGATTGCACCAAAGTGTGTTTTTGTTATCATCTCGTTGTGTGACAAAGAATATTTACTATGTTCTTCCGTACTTTATGCTTAAATAACTATTACATTACTGGGTATGACATATCATCGGGAAAGTATATTGACAAAACATATTCAGTGAACATATCAATGATAGCATGCTTACATCACATTATAATCACTTTAAAAATGTTTAGCCAAAAGCATCACCTGGAACGTCCGATCCCGTTATTCTTAACTCGATCCCGTTTGGCACTTCCTTCAAAATACTTTTTTTTAAATCAACTCAATAAGCCATTTCATACATGGTATAACAGAGCGAATAAATACACCAGAATACTGTATAATGATTTTTATGGTACTTTATAGAATTTTTTCCCGAAACGAGTTCAATTTAGCTTTATGACTAGGAGCGTATTATCGACTCTTGATTTTAATAGGCGTAATTGTGATTTACTCTCTTTGACCCAGATAGATGCCAATACCATGTGTGTTAAAGTGGGTAACCGAGGTATTCCGCTCTTGTCGGTGCTTTCGGATGCCCCATATAACACACAATTATACTTACAACACATCAACTTAAAGATGGCCGATTTCTTGCATAACTACTTCATTACCAATCCCATGCAACCAGATGCGCTGTCGTTACTGGGTGGTGCACCCTTCATTCCCAGACATTTTTACCATTAAATTCAACCACTATCAAGTAAACGTCAATGTATAAGTTGACAACTAGAAGGTTTGTGAGCGAAGTAACACACTTAGTATGATCGATTTTTTGACATGGACTCTGGAAGGGCGTGAATGCTTTTCCGTCGATTAACTGTTGAAACAAGACATAAAACAAAGTTCGGTTTACGCATTATTTTATATTTTAAGAAAATGATCATTCAGTATCAAGACATGTCTTGAAAAGGTCGTTTTACATAGTCGAATATATGAATTACTCAGTGATGGTAGTAGGGTAAGCTTTCCAGAAAAACTAGGTTGGTGGCATATTATTTGTACAGTTAAGAACCTATCTCTGCAATATATTTGCGAACCTGTTGTAAACAACACTGGAGTCATTGTAGTCAAGCTTTCGTCATTGTTATTTCTAAAAAAATACGTAATATATTATTCAGTGTATACACACTCATGCAATCTACCGGTCCCATCAATTGCGGTCAGATTGGCCAGTACATTTACGTGACTGTTCATCAATATCATTGAATTACAAAACCGTGGAAGAGTTTTAAGTTATTGTCCTGTAAAACTGTGCCTGTATAGGCCATTCAACTTATTTTAGCGGAATATTCGGAGTGGACATCATGCTTTGGAGTCACAAAAATGATTGAGTTCTGACCATGATGAAACTCAGTAATGTACTCAGTGTGTACTTTTTATGTTTTGATCAAGTAAATATATGTAATCTGTATAATATGTATGAAAATTCAGATTTTAATACAGGGTGAGAAGAGCTGTGGAGGTAAGAACACAATCAACAACTGCGAATAGGATTAAGCCGGGTCAACTAAATAAAGTCAACAGAAGGATTTTACAATAATTATATCAATAATTATTATATCAGAAAAGGTGAAGGAGATAGGAGGAGACAGAAAGTAGATGACTATAAGTATGGTAGAATGCACCCAGGGTCGTCTTACCGATTCACGGATTATTGGCAATACTCCAACCATATGTGGCATATCAGTTCCAAATTATTCAGGATAGCGAGAAGAAAATACTGTCTGAAATACACGTCTATTTCCAACAATGAACGTGTTATGATTTCAGAAGGAAAGAAAGGCACATGTCTAGTTTAAGGAAATTGGAAATAATAAAAAAAACGACAATAATTGTATATGTAAATCCGCTGAGCGCGTTGGGCAAATTATCCATCCTTCGTCATATCATTGTGCGTATCAACGCGTTTAGCCACGCTTAACTGCGTCTCACATCACACACTAGTATACACATATACCAAGAAAGCAATCTTGTTGTGCACTAAATGGGACATTTATTAGTGTAAATATATATTTTTACATCTTGATAACACGTAAAGATCAACTGAAATGAAAATGTAAGGGTAAAACATATTTACAAGTGCGTTAAAATTGCACACACACTTCGTAGTTCATATACACATAATATTTACATGCCAAAGGAGGTAGAGGAAACGTGTCGATTGCATGTTCGAAGTGACGTATGTAAATAACATGAACAATTGAACACGTTTCAATGTTGTAACCATTTGATCAATCAGAAATGTATCCCAATGTGTTTGTGGTCTTCAGACGCCCGTTGGTGATATCTTTGTTTGGACAAAACATGAACCATGATCTACGATTGAAGTCCCATAATTTGAGGGTTTTCACAAAAAATGAAAGAAAATACTTATTTTTCAAAAGTGAATATTTGTTAAATGATAATATCGGCATTCGTCCGGTATAGAAAGTGACAGGCCTAGCATTTTAAAATTGTTAAATTTCTTTTCGTTAAGCTGTATTTGGTTACGACCTATTTAATCTAAATTGTGGTCCATTTACTGTATTATTCATTATTTTCCCAGCATCCTTTGTGTTGTGGTTTGTAAAACTTTGGCCGACAGGTAATTCTTTTTTCAAGGATTTATATTTGGTATTATGAAAACATATCACCAAAGATCAAAAGCATAATAATAACAAATATAGATATGTATATCTATACAAATGCTATAATAGCAACTTTTCCAAACAACATATTGAATTTCAGTCGTAAAAAATCACTTCACAATAAATTTTTTCCGAAGAATTGAAAAACATACACATACAAAACTAAAATATATTCCACATTGAATTTGTACATTTTACCATAGACTCGATAGATGATGGATAGAAAACACACTGGATAATAAGATAATGCAGAGGCTAGGTTGCATTTCATATCATATAAAAAGACTTATTGTCATAAATTGGGAAACGATGGTTCCAGAATAAATCATATCTTCTATAGAGTCTCTGATTTTACAGTAACATCTTGATTAAATTACAAAATAAAAAAAATCTTGGACATCACGAGATGAAAGTGTGTAGAACTATATATAACCTTGACACATGTAATAGATAACTTTTGCTTTACTGTACATCAAATCTACACATGCAGAAACAGCGTACTGCACGAAACTCATAATAGAAATAAAATCATAGTTATATACAATAAACACATGGTAACGTTTATGTCTGGATATAGCGCAAAACACAACTTATCAGGAGAAATGTGGCTTGAGTATGAGCACGTACCACATCTAACTGTCTAGCTTAAGAAAACCAATAAAAGTCGTATCGGATTCCCCTGCAATACTGTACACCTCCTCTCCATCAGTAAGCATTGATACGTGTATTTTTTCGCCAGGCTGGATGAAGGCGATCCCACCCGTAAAACAGGAGTGAAAGGCGTACTCTGAGTGGTAATACTTGCAACTGGCAATGGATGATTGTTTCCTACCCTGGCCCACATAAACCGAATGGCCAACAAACGGGTTATTGGCGTCTTTGTAGGTGACCTGTAAGCGACCAGAAGGTTCGAGTCAGTTTAGTAAACTTCGATGAGCTTGAGGAGTGCACATAAAAGGCTGGGATGTGGTCGTGTCATGCTCAAGCCACTAGCTTAATAAACCCGATGAAACTGCTATCTTTATGCATATTCACTACACGGTTGGGGTACGGAATATTAACAGTGACCTCGCTCCTGTCATCTAGTTTAGTTACACCGCCTGTATAGCAAGTATTATATTTGGACTGCCCTTCATCAATCCCCGGAGGGTCAGCATCTTCCTTGGATTCTAGCGAATGTTGCAAAGTCGACTGAGTACACGTAATAAAGGGGTTTCCATTAATATTGACAACGTGCGCCATTGTCAATTTATCGTAATATCTGACCTGTAAATGACGGGTAAATACTAGTTAAAACACTTAGCGCTGACCCTGGTAGAGACGCAGCATGGAGCAACATGTTTGTGCACCAAAATAAAAGATAGACCACAATTGATAAACAATATATATAAGTAATATATATAATATGTCATCTTAGAGTTGAGTAGCTCGACACCACGTGATATTATCAGTAATATTTTTTTTCACTTTCTAATACAAATAATGAAAATAGTTTGCAATCACAAATTTACAACAGAATTATAAAAACACGTATCATAGCCCAGCAAGTTTAAAATCCGCCAAGAACCAAGGAATTACCTGACTATAGACGTAATACAAGCCACCTTCTATAACCGTTATAGTTCCATCCACACTGAGTAGAAACTTTTCTTTATTTGGGTCATCTCTCATCCAGTCTGCATACCGCCAAAGATCTAATACCCCATCTATAAGAACAAATTATAGCATTTACAGTATTTCAATGATTTTAGTGCCAAAAGCCCTTTTTTTGTAAACAATAAATCATGGACCCATGATGGTCAGAGTAAATACAGACAAAGAGTGAGTAACCAGTATGATTAGAAATAATTCTATAAATATTGAACAGTGGGTGTTATTAGGAGACTCTGATCCTCAACTATCTTCACATTGAGTGTGTAGAAATGTATACTTATGAGAACAAGAACAACAGTATAACGAAATAACAAAACGTGAATATGTGACTAAACATTCTTGTCATAATTTGAGACGCCAATATTTCAACTATTACATAAAAAGATGGACAATCAACTAAAATAACGACATTACAGATATGTCATGATAGTTCAAGCTAATGTCAAAGCCTCTGGGATCATCTGGAATCTGATTGGATTATTTTTAAGTTCAGAAAACCTACTTCATCTATCTATGAGTAGTAACCACATATACATATTTACATAACAATAGTCACAATGACCTCATACTGAACTTCCTCTTTTGCCAGTAGGCGCAGATAGAGGGTTGGCAGGGGGTATTTTCGTAAGCTGTAATCAATTGTTTTTAATATCGTAATAATGTAATTTAAATAAATAAAAGGCGTAAATTCGTAGAAATGGGCAAGGTGTAAAATGTAATGAGCTATTTTATTCGTCCGTAATGTGTACACAGATTTTATGTTTTGTAAGCGCATAGAGAATTTCCGACATTAAATGTCGTAATTCGTGTGCAATTTCCAATTATGATTCTTAAACTCAAATTATCAAATATATTATAAAAATGTAAATGTAATTAGGAATTTGCTTTATCTGTAAAGTGTAAAAACCTATTTTGTTTACTGTGAATGCCATTTTTATTTTCTGTAACCTGTAGCCAGCTATTCCTCTTGCCCCCAGATAAACTAGCAAAATAGAAACAAACGCTACCGTGATCCTAAATATAGTTACTTAGAGTTTGCTGTTTACATTGAGCCTAGCGACCAAAGATTACCAGGATTTTTCATTAACATAAGGATCAAAGGTCACCACATGCAAGTGTCCAGATAGAAGTATTCATATCAAATACGTTTTATGATATGATTATAAACTTATATACTGATTATAAGTTTGGTAGAAGTTTATGGGTCCGAATTATACAGATAGATATTGGATATAGCATGATGTATACTGGGCATGCGCAGATGATACACCCGAGTCATGCGTCCGTGGTATATATCCCTTCGCTTACCTCTTCCTACGTTCACGGTCGCTCTTCCGTATTTGCCATCCCCAATAATATGTGCAGCAGTAGGACCACACTATAATACAAAAATATACATAAACTAAAATGAGTGTATTGAAAATATACTTACTTTTTCCAGTATGTCTAACTCGGTCAGGGCCATCTTCACCTTGAAAATGTGCAACCGTTAGACACTGGGGAAAGGACAAGGGGAATGTAATTACACAGATTTCACAGTATGTTACACCTTGAACTAGCGAGTTAGAATAAATTATAAATTTATAAACTAGAAAATAGAATATTTATCGATTGAAATATGATAGAACGTATACTTAGTTTGCAATTCAAATCAGACTTATGACTGTATACCACTTACTGTAAAAATAATAATAGAGAAACAGAGACATTAATTATCAAATACATTATGTATTATTTTATTTTATTTATTGTATTACCCTTGGTAACCCCTTATGTCAATATTCATTTACAATGGAACTAAAGCACATACAAAACCAAAATAAAATATATTTTTATATTTTAATAAAAGTAATTACCTTTCTTGTTTTTTTTACATTTGTCCTTTTTCTTCCCTTTTCGTTTCATCCTACCTACAGAAAAAGAAGTAAGCCACAATATGAATCCTGGCAATCTTTTGGTTCAATGTGATGCACCTCTCAGCGAGCATATCAGGCATGGAATTACAAACGCACGTGAATTCAAACACATTGGTTAGGATGGTAATTGTAGACTAACAACATTGCCGATATGCTAGTATTATCAAGATACTCACTCAATGACTCTCCCGAGCTCTCCCTGCTTTGCGTATCAACTCTGTCACTCAACATTTCATACAGCTTTCTGCCAGCGTCAACACCATCCTATGAGACAAAATACGTAGCTTAATTAATAGGACAATGATTTGTTTTGAGAAGAATGAATCAACGAAGAGATTTTACACAACGCGTTTCAGTGCAAAGATTTTTCAGGCCGTACTTCGCACTTTGTGGAGACAGGTGCCTGAATTGTTACACTCAGCCAACAACAGACTGCGGCACCAGTCACCAACAGTGACGCTTATCATGAAGAACTGTATCTATCTACGCAATAGTTTAAGCTTACCTTCAGAATGTCTCCTACCATGAACTGTTCGGTATCGTCGTTGTTTTCACTGTCCCCGCTGTCCTCAGAATTCGAATAACGTAGTCTGTCTTCTAATTCCATGACCCGTCTTTCGAGAGTTTGCAGATTTTCAGTTGTTGTTAACAACGTTAATTCTAACCGATTAATTCTGACATGTGCAATAAGAACAACAGCCAGCAACGGCAACAGTATGACGAGAGCGATCACAGCACCACCAATCAACCAGAGCGTCCGCGTTTGAGTTTTCGTGGCTGCCTTCATTGTGCTAGTAGTGCATTTAAAATCGTTAAAACCAACTTCAATCCGTCACCAGACCTGTCGATGCCATACGTGTTAACCCCGGTCTTATTATACCATGTAGCTGGTAGGGGCTTTTTCCTAGAATTTCGTGGTCATAACATACTGGGTTAAAGTCAGCCACCCTTATCCATATTGACATCTGTAAGGTGGGGGCGTATATGTGCAAAGTACTTCAAATTAATTTGCATTGGCATTCGTCCATTTACTGGGATAGGCATACAATACACTATTTTTATCACAAAGTACTGGGACCTTTTTGACTAGAACGCAATCGAAGCTCAAGCTATTGTGCAGGAAACAACAATACAGCAACAACACAGGTACTAAAACGGTATTGTGTGGCGATACTCGATCTTTATTGCTAACATAATATACCCTATGACCTTTGAGCATATGGACTAGATTTCAAACAGGTGCTGACTTGTTAAAATTCAGACTATTGAGGGCGCTGATTACACCTAGTGTCTTTGTTTTTTTGTTATTTTATCTGCGAATACATGGTGGTATCCGTATTGGTAGCGCTAGCGCGTGAACGATTACACCCATCGCTTAATTAAGATTACATATCACATAAAGCGCCTTTTACCCCATTCAGCATCAGTTTTGAACATCAGTAAAACAAATAACAGTACGCGCCCGTTTACCCCTTCTATAAATGTCTCTCCTAATTAGGTTATTGCAAATAATCAGCTTTTATCTGCTATACGAACATGACGTTCATCGTCTATAAATGATGTGCACTAAGGCCAATGACAAATCATGACCATGTATTTGGTGCTCAATATTACATATATCACAGTATACATCATATACCCCTTCTGCGCCCTCGGCGACGGATTATCAAGGACATCCTCTCTTTCTGCACCCACCTTTAGCATGGCATACGCACCATATTCCAGAATTCGTCTTGGCTGAGCTCCGGAACTTTTTCGAGCGCATATCTTGCCATCATGTCGAGGTGCGGAAGCGGAAGTTTTTCACGAAGGACGGCACCACGTGCACGCATTGTAAAATTGTGAGAATAATCTGTGATGGGGCGACGGGTGAATTTTGCAGGGGGGGGGGGTACATTTTTAAACAAAAAAGGGAGTTTAATCGAAATAACTGAGTATTTGAGTTGAAAGAACGATCTTGTAGAAAATGAAAATAGAAATGAACCAATCAGTGTTGACTTGAACAAAATAAATATGCATACATGAGTGTTTTGGAATCACTGCCTGTACTCGTCATTTGACTGTCCAGGTTACTGTGAAGGTCGCTGAGCTGAGTACCAATAAGACGTATGGGAGGCAAGATTGTAAAAAAAATCTAAAATACTTTGTTCTTCAGTTTTGAACTTTGAACGTATTTTGGCTTTTATTTGTGTGTGTGTGTTATTTTCTTTCTTTTATGGTATTTCTCAATATGAAATGTTCGCCATCGATACATATGTATACTATATTTATATATATATGTATAACATAACATTTATTTCGATTCTTCGCAGTAATTAATAATACAGTAGTCACCAAAAATGACAATGATGTATTAAACAAATAGTTCCCTCATGGCAAGATAGCACATAATTAAAATATGTTACTAGGATTTGGTGAAAAAATATAGGTCTTTCCAAACCACCTTCGAAAGAGAATACCACATAATTTTCAAACTTCATTAAAAAAATGTATAACGACAATTGCTAGCTAATATATATATTATATACATAATTAAATGTTCTCAATGTATTTCGTCAATTTCGAAAATGACCAAATAACCCCACAAATGGAATTTTCGTGTGGGGTTCAATGCATATATCCGAGTATATGTGGTGTGCATACACATCACTTATATCGACACAGTTGTACTGCATGCCCTCACGGATTGCTGTATCGATAAACAATTGGATTCGATTTTAAATATCACTTATATCAATTCAACATACTGCCCGTGAACTTACTACGCCCGCGAACCAGGCCACACTCACCTCACGTAAATTTGGATCACAAGTCATTGTTTCTAGACCTTTTATATCAACAATTGTGAATTATATGATATATGAATTTCTTTAGGTGATATATAAAGGGATAATAATGCAACAATTACACGTATCGTCACAATTAAACTGCGTACCAAGTAGCAAAGTCAACAATATATTTCACATAGTAATGGCTAATCACTAATAACTACTACCCAGTGTAATAATTACAGAAATCGCAATGAATATTTATATTCATTATATTCAAAACTGTACACCACACCTAAATATTCAAATCTGCATTCGCTGTGTAAGAACTTACCCTTTTTTGTTACTTTAATGTGAACTAAACTTACCTGATGGACTCCACCTTTTGCGCGATCCGACATACTGCAGCCCGTAACGGTTAAACGATGGTACCGTTATGTAATGATCCAGCTGATCAGCAGTGTGACGGACATCGTGATAAGCGGGACATTTCGAAGGAGGTATTCAAAATCAAAGACATTGCAGATAATATATAGTCTAAAAGCGGGATAAACGCCGCGTGGAGTTTCAACCATGGTGGTAGACACCGTAAAATGCCTAATCAACAGGCCCAACCTGCATCGCAATAGAACCGAGAGAATACGTCTCGGAATTTCCGTTGAGATAATTCCTAAAAATAATTTGCTGGTATTCCCATTTCGCAGTCATTGGATGACCGTGCTGGTCACGTGGTCGGGGATTTCCAGCTTTACAAACAGCGTGGGTGTAGAAAACTCGTAAAGATCTCAAACGATAAACTACGTGTGTACCGGAGAAAATAATTGACCGCCGTCTCCGAATAATCAAATTAACACAATCTAAATAGTTTGATGGACGATACATAGGTAGTATATGGGTCAAACTGAAACGTACGTGTGAGTTGACGGGTCAGTTTCGTAACAATGGTTCTATTTATAGGCTGGCTGCTTTTAATGCAAATTTATGCAAATACCCAGGGCAACTGAAGGTCAGTTTATTCAGCTTTTTGAAATGTAGTCTATAACTTAAATATACAAATGTCAAGTCAACTCCACAATTCAAGAACGGGCGAAATCTTATACATGCAAGATCTGTCAGCGCATCATCTATTGGACGAAACCATTACATAATCAACACATGATCGTATAAATACTGTATATATAATAACTCATCTTATCACATATATCATATCAGATCACTGTAATAAAGCAGTGTATTAGGCTTCGATATCTCAGTACTGTGCTATAAAAATCCCTGTAATTTCATTGGTTCATGCAAGCAATCTTCGAAAAGTGGATAGTTTCAAACTATATCTCTCAAAACATTATTAGGTATTTAAATTGTTTCGAATAGTTTTTGTAGTTTCATGTCGGTTAAAATATGCCTGTCTTATAAACCCGCATATACGTGAGAGAACTCTTCCAGCCTTAAATTGTGCACTCAACGTAAGTGTGTTCACCCATTGTCTGATGGATTGTATAAAAACCACAATTGAATTGATTAACAAAATCGTAATTTTGTTGCCAATGCATCCCACAATCTTAGATATATTGATGGCCCAAGAATTAAGGAATATTCCTTAACCGCATGGGGGTCAACTGAAAACAATAGGTGTGAAAGGTGTTCTTGTATACAAATGAGACACACACATTGACTGAGTGCACCTAAATCGAAATTCTTAAAGCACGCCGTCAACGGCAGTAATCAGTCGAAGCTTGGAGAATGTCTCCTGCTTATCCCCAGGGGCGGGGCACTCGACTATCATATTAGGAAACTGGTATGTCATCTTTTGAGGTTGATTGTTGTATGTCCTGTATTTGTGGCCTATTTTTAAAAAAAGTATTTATATGCACTAATTTTATGTTCTTGCTTTTCAGCATTGAATTATCAGGGGTAAATCTCTTCTCCACAGGGTCTCCACACTGTCAGGGGGGAATCTCGTCTCGTCTCTCTATCTCGTCCCCTTGAGGTACGGGATCGGGAAAGTCACTTTAACTTTACAGTCAAATAAGACGCACACAACGAAATACGTTTCAACTCTCGTCTTAGTCGATCAATCGAGCACTCTATAAGACACAGCGCCCTGGGGAAAAAAATCCCCAAGACTCTCGCAAGGCTGACCCAAGACTAGCCCAAGACTGGACTGCCTCAAGGCTCGCCCCTGGACTCTCTCGGACTCTCGACTCTCCAGGACTGCCTCGACTGCGTCTATCGTGGAGTATTCGCCAAGACCAACTCAAACTCTCTTTATTCATTTTCAAAACTCTAACCAATTACAAAACAGTAAAAAGACTCTAAGGCGTAAACTTCAATCATAAAGCCAATCAAACTAAGTACTGAATACGTCATATCTTTTGATTAATCGTTCACTACATCAATAACTATGGAATACCAACTGTCAGAATCGCGACGGATATCTCGTAATTAGTTCCAAACCGCTGAGCCAAGTTCCGTCCAAAACTTCAAATAGACCTACACGATGACAGACATAACACAGCAATTCGCTAATAATCAGTTAATTAAGTCGACCAACAGATACGCAAAAACAAATTCATGACAGAATATCCATTGATCTCACGGCTCAGAATTTCTCTTAAAATGTATGCTTCAAATATGTTGTTGATTTATTGACTCATATTCTGTTATGAGATTGTGTGGCCATGATTGTAAAATTGTAGTCAGCACGAGGTCAATGACCGACAACAACTGATTTTACAATCATGAGCTCTGTCGCCAGTCCCACTGTCACGAAAAGCGTAATGTAAAGTGGGCCTAAACGTTAACCGCTAGATTGATTAAAAATGTGCAAAGGCCAGATGCAGTAAACACACAGCATACCGAAATGCATTTTGGATAATACTGTCGTAGGCGACATATATTTATAAATACACCAATATATTAGTTTTTTAAATACAGGTACTTAATATCCCTTACGAGAGGCAGCTGTTCTACATCGCAATGTGTATCCGTGAGTAAGACAGCTGTTTTCATATAATTATATAACCGGGTACATGGCAATGACAGCTCCATGACATTAGAACTTTCCAAATGAATGATAAAATTAAATTTGCTACCTTTCTGCCTTATGCGTGGCTTAGTATGAATTGTATTTTAACAAATACATCGAGGCATAGTTTAATATGATACTAAAAC